CATCATTCTATTGTTATTATCATTATTATTATTATTATCATTATTATTATCACCATTATCATTCTTATTATGTCTGTTGTTGTTATCATTGTTGTTGTTGTTATCATTATTATCAGCATTATCTTTTTTCCATTATTATCATTATCATTTTTTCAATCATTATCATTATCATTTTTTCAATTATTATCATTATGTTTTCAATTATTACCATTATCATTTTTCAATTATCATCATTATCATTGTTATTGTTATTGTCATCATAATTATTGTTATTATTACTATTATCATTATTTTTGTTGTTATTATAATGATCATTATTATTATTGTTATTATCATTATCATCATCATCATGATCAACATTGTTGGTATTTATTATCATTATCATTACTATTGTTGTTATCAATATTATGAGTAGTAGTATCATCATCATTACCAATATTATCATTATCATTATTATCATTATTTTCATAATTATCATTATCAATATTGTATTTGTTGTTATCATGTTGTTATTATCATAATCATTATTATCACCATTTATCATTTGCACTTATCATTATCTATCATTTTCATTATTATTATTATTACCACTTATTATCAATATCGTTATTACCATTATCAATATCATTATCATCATCATTATCTTTATCATTATCATCATCATTATCTTTATCATTATCTATCTTATCATTATCATTATTATCCCCATTGATATTTATGCTATTTGTAATACTTCTAATAGAATTACTAATATTATCACATCTATTTTATCCTTTCCGATATTTCTAACGGATATAGCTTTTCATCCTATATTTCTTTGAGATTCTTTTTATTCCTCGGATAATTTCCATTTATGATTTTATTATTATCATCATTATTATTATTGCTATTATCATTATTCTTGTTATGTTATCCTCATTAACATTATCATTCATTACCATTACTATCATTATCATCATTATTGTTATTATATTTGGTATTGTTATCAGGTTTATTATCATCATTATTGCAGTCATTGTTATGATTTTCTTTTTCATCTTCCTTGGCGTTCTTTCTAATATTTTTATTCTTCCCTCGATCGTTTTCTTTTTCTTTCTTACCTTTCTTTATCTCTCTCTTTCTCATTCTTTCTTGGCATCGTCACGCCCATCTTATATTTTTCTGTCCACCCTTTTATACGATATCTCTTTTCAAGTTCTTTCCATTTCTTCTTTTCTTTTCTTTTTCATTAGGATCGTCATATCATCCCAGTTTTATTTGTGTTTTCTTTTCTTCTTTCTTTCTTTCGGTATTATACACTATGTTTATTTTAGTTTTTTATTTTTAATGTGTGTGTTTTTCCTTGCCTTTAGAGTTATCACATTGTATCAATTCCCTTTCGCTTATTTTCTTTTTATGGATATTTGACTATGTTAATTTCTCTGCCATGCATAATATTCTCTTCTCGTTTATCATGCACACTAATAACAATGACCATCATCAGTCAGCAATAACAATATATATTAGTTGAATATCTGCACTAACAACTCTCTACATTCATCCATCTACAACAATTCCACTGGCAACCATCATCATCCATCATCATTGTTATCATCATATTATTATGATTTCTAGTATCATCACTATCATTTCTATCAATACTATTATTATTATTGTTATTATCATTATCATTGTCAATATTTTTATTATTATTATTATCATTATTATTATTTTTATTATTATTATTATTATTATTATCATTATTTATTATTATTATTATTATTATTATTATTATTATTATTATTATTATTATTATTATTATTATTATTATTATTATTATTATTATTATTATTATTATTATTATATTATTATTATTATTATATTATATTATCATTATCATTATTATTGTCATTATCATTATAATTATCATCATCATTAATATTATTATTATTATCCTCCATCAGTGCTGCAATTTATCCTCTCATTGTCAACACCAAGAACCACATGAATGGCCACAAAGTATCTCCTTTTCTAGCACCTATCATCATGCTAACCATATTTCCCTTTCTGCCATTTGCACGGAACATCACTCAACAACTACCATGATTCTCGTTTGAACTTCCCACCATCCACCTTTCACGTTTTATGCCATTTCCCATCACTACCATCACAACATCCGTTAGTCTTGAACACTTTACTCCACATCTTTTACATTTCTTACGCTATTTTCGACCATCTTAACCACAGCAACCATCCACTTGCTACCAGAAACCATCTCCTGCTACTTAGTCCACCCACCAGCTTCGGCCTGTCGATCTATATTATCATCCACTATCTGCTACAACCATACCGACTACCTTGCGCTACAACCACACAACTCACCACCAAATGAACAATCACACAGCCACTCACCTCCTGAACAACACACAACCACCCACTACCTTCACTTCCTGAACAACCGCACAAACCACTCACCACATTCTAACGTCTGAACAACCACACAGTCACCCACCTCCTTCCACCGCCTGTGCAACCACCCACCACTTCCACCGCCTGAACAACCACGCAAAACGTTCACTACCTTCAAACGCCTGAACAACCACACAACATTTTCCTGAACAACCACGCAAACTACCCACCACTTCCACCGGCTGAACAACCACCCACCTTCGGCCTCCCAGAGAATCCCAGTGTTTACACGGAGCCAAAATTTATGTTCTAGTTTATGATCTTCACAGGTGTGTAAATTAGACGGTGTGGCCTGACCGGGCGTGTGTGTGCGTGTGTGTGTGTTTGTGTCTGTGTGTACGAGGGAGAGGGGGAAGGAGGAAGGGGGGGGGAAAGGATAAGGGGGTTGGTGTGGAGGAGGGGGGGAAGGTTGGGGTATGGGGGTGGGATGGAGGTAGGGGGTGGGGTTAGGCTGGGGGGTGAGGTGTGTTACTGTCGCTCTATCTCTCTCTTTCTCTCTCTCAGACACATACATATATACATGTGTGTGTGTGTGCGTGTGTGTGTAGTGAGAGAGAAAGAAGAGAGAGATAGTATATATGTCAAGATCTGTCTATCCGGACAGATAAATAGCTCTTTAACCAAATACACACACAAACACACACACACACACACACACACACACACACATATGT